AAAACTTAAACCATACTTACATGGTCTAAGCTTAGATGGAACACAACCATCAAAGTTAAAGGTTTTTTTTGGTAGGGTCCCACCACGCGCAATTTCGCTGTCAAGTCCGGCAGTTTTTAGTGGCTTCTTCTTGCAGAATAGTCTCATTTGGTCCCGCCACGATTTTTGCAATTCAGCAACGCTCATAGTCCTTTAAATCATGTGAGGAAAACTAGCTTGGGCCTAAATATTTATTGGAAAATTTGTGTTTATATCCCTGGTATCTTGTGATTTTCATTTTTTTACGTACTTTTTAGTTTAGTATAGATAGGTAGTTGTAGGTTATGTCTTTAGACGGGCGAAAATCCTTAAATATGCTGTTTCTGAGTAAAATCCGACGATTGAGACGATTTTCTCGAAAAATTTTCATCTTTTGCTTTTTCTCTTTATTAGTATCCTTGTTCTATATTTTTCTTTATTCTTTCTGTTTTCAGTCATGCAAATCTTTGTCAAGACTCTCACAGGGAAGACTATCACCCTTGAGGTTGAGCCATCTGACTCCATCGAGAACGTCAAGGCTAAGATCCAAGACAAGGAAGGAATTCCTCCAGATCAACAACGTCTTATCTTCGCCGGTAAGAATATTTAAATTATATTATATTTATTTCGATTCTTCTCCAGGAAAGCAACTCGAGGATGGACGTACTCTCTCCGATTACAACATCCAAAAGGAGTCTACTCTTCACTTGGTTCTCCGTTTGAGAGGAGGTAAGTATTTTATATTAATTTCTTTTTTTTATTTTTATTTCTCTAGGTATCATCGAGCCTTCCCTTAGAGCTTTGGCCCAAAAGTACAACTGTGAGAAGCAAATTTGCCGCAAGTGCTATGCTCGTCTCCCACCTCGTGCTTCCAACTGCAGAAAGAAGAAGTGCGGACACTCCAATGACCTCCGTATTAAGAAGAAGCTGAAGTAACTTTCTTGCAACATAAAACTGTTGAAGTTATAATCGTCTTAATAATTTAACAACAATGCATACACAAATATTTATTGGGCAAATTTTATAAACTTATAGCGTTATGTTCTAGCCATTTCAATCGGGTTGTTTTTGAAACCTGCTAATAGTTCATTCGTTCTAATACCTTTACGCACGGTTACCGGCTATGGGATCAATCGCAGACATAACATAAGCGGAGTATACTACAAGGCATTGAGTGCGTGCCTTGGTGGGGATTGGCGTTTATCTAGGTCGAGCGTTGTTGCCATGAACGCGCAGTGTGTTTCGTTTAGCGTTCGTCGGGTTTATTCTTATTTTTTGAAGGATGTCAGGATATAGAGTGCGCGAAGGAGCTCTTAAGCTGAAAGGAAAGAAACAGAAATTGTAAGATTCGTTTATGTTTATTATGTATGTATCTTTGTGTAGATTTAAAGCAGATCGTCCAAAAAAAGAGAAGAAGAAAGAGCAGGAGGAAGATAAGGTTGATCCAGATCTTGAAGCTCACGGTTTGTTATTAATGAGTGTCCAATTGAATGATTTGTTGTAAAGCGGGATGGTGGGTGATAAACAATGAAGTTGATCTGAAGGGTGGAATGAACATAGCGATTGAGCAAGGTGAAGGAACACGTTGTTATTTGTCTGCCTTGGATAACGGAAAATTTACTGTCGGAGGACCTCATCCGGCGGGAGAGGAACCGTTCCCTAACGAGCAGTTCGCCCTTGTACGAACGCCCGACGAAGACAAAATCAGGTTTGAACCTTGCATGATGAATATTTATTAATTGTTCGTTCAGTCTCAAGACTGGATACGGAAAATATGTTGGTGTGAATGCTACCGGTGAATTAGTTGCTACAGCAGAAGCCATTGGTACCAAGGAGAGGTTTATTCCAATTTTCCAGGATGTAAGTTGATAAATATATCTCTTCTTAACTGTTTTGCGCTTAAGGGTAAAAGCGCCATTCAAGCTGTGTTCAATCCTTTATTCTTATCTATGGATACGGACCAGGAAGGCCATGTATTCGTTTGTAGTAAGCAAGCGAAAGAATCGGAAATGGTTACGGTAAGAATACTTTCATAATTTGCCTCTATCCACAATCGCTTAAGATTCGTACCAATTGTGTGAGAACAGGTCCACAGGACTTCACACCTGCGGAAGATAAGAAGGGTGCTAAAGAGTGCGAAACTGCGTATATGTGAGTTTCAACTCTGACAACATGATTATACCTGTATTCCCATTTCAGAAAAATGTATCAGCACTCGAAAGTTGATCTCAAGGGAAGGTGTGTATCTGTTAATCTCAACAACAAGAGAGGTGTCAAACGTGCTCAGGAAGATGGAAACCTTCACGACTACTTGCTTGAGCGCCGTGTTAAGGCAAAGTCTGATCGATATTGTTAATCGTAATTGAATGCATCTCTTGTAAAAAAATAAAACATTCTTGAAGGCAAATTTTATAAAATGAGTAAAAAAACATGTCAGTGCAACAAAAGTCGTAAACATACATGCACAACGACGAGGTGGAAAAAACAAAAATCCGATAAAAATATTGAAACCTTAAAACACCGTTGATACTAATACATGAATATTATGATACAATTGACTAAATCAGTAAGCTGCAAGGAGACCCATTTCTTCTAAACATTATTAAATTAAGCCCGTGGTGGATCGTTTGTAGCACTACCGGTCCTACTGGGAGCTACACAAGTATTAGCAACATTTTGGAAGAGTCTTTCTATTTCAGGGGCGCAACGTGTGAATTCGAACTTCCAGAACTTATAAGATGGATTCTTGATCAATTCGATAAAGGTAATGAGAAGACCCCATGGATGAGGACGTAAAGCAACTAGTCTTTCAAACAGAATACGCGTAATTTGTTCCTGGAAACAAGTAGATGAAGCTAAGTGATAATGGAAACAACATACTTGAATGGCATCACAGTCTGAGTTTAGGAAGAGGAATAGGAATACGCAACTGAAGTAATGCGTATGGGCGTTTGGATAACGTAATTGATTAGCAATAGCGTTAAATAACAGATAACGTCCTGAAACAGTAACATAGAAGAAGCATACAAGTCTGTTAACGAACCCTCTGTGCAGAGTTGGACAGCCAGATTTTGGAAAATATCCATGAATGAAGTATGAGCGATAGAAGAAATACTAATAGGCTGACGACGTTGACTTAAGCTTTCAATCGCCCTGAAAAATATATTTACACGGATACAACTACTTGAATCATACCTAATTCCAACATAAAGAACGACAGCGTTCATTACAGTGGTATTATACTTGGACCCTGGGACAATAGTTTGTTGAAGCATTCCAGGTAATGAGGTAAGGAAATCAACTGAAGATCGAGTATTCAAATAACGGTCTAGCGGAACACGTATGTTTTCGGGGATTATGGTTGTCATATTGAGATTAGATTTCGGCTCCTGTGCCATATCAGGAATACTATCAACTTGCTAAAAATTATAAGTTCAGTATCATAATTACCATATGAAAAACTACCTTGAAGTTCAGAGCGAAAGGATCTGGTAGTCTCATGTTACGAGGGTAAGCAGATAGTACAAGGTTTCGAAGTTGAACGCAATTTGCGGGAATAGTATCGCAAATAACATAATGGAACTCACAAAGAAGTTCGGGGAAATCATGAAGAATAACCAGAAGAACTCTGGAACAACGAAACATTAACGAAGAAGATTGAGTTAGACACTTACCTCAGAGTTCCTTTATAAAGAACACTGATACTCTTTGGAAGATGAATATTTCTCAAGAATGGTGCAAGGAATTTTAGATGACAGATAATTAGTTGAGTGTACATGGCTTGCATCTTCATAGATTCCTGAGTATCACTTGAACCTGAAGAATCAAAAACATAGATAACAACTAAAGATTCAAAATCTCACTTCCAAGAAGGCGACCAATCACATTTCTATGACCAACAATATCGAGCCAGGCGAAAGCGAAGCCAGGACAGCGTCTAGGTTGGAGTACGAACAATGCTTGTCCGAAAGCCTCTAGGATGTTCCACGCAATCGGCTCTAAGGTAGCATTGCTATCAGGAGATGTAAGTTCGTTGAAAAGAGTAATGAGAATGCGATGATAAGGCATGGGGTTGAACTCTGTTCTGCGAACTTCATGATCCAGATGAAGAACACTTGTGACGATAGAGAGGACCTGATAGATCGAAATATAATGTTACTACTATTGTCAAAACAAACCTTCTTCAGTAATGTGATCTTAGTCTGTGCTTGACTACCGTCGGAATGCTTGATCATCAACCTAATATATTCATCGATCATAAACATATTTCCTAATCTAACTAACGCGATGAGCTTAACATATGCATCCAAGGTATAATGGCAACGCTGGCGGATGATCGTACTCTGATGGAAAGAGTTGCCTGGATCCTGCTTGATCATACGTTGAGTAACATCAACACACATTTCTGTGCACATTCGGAAGAAAGTAGAGACTCTGTCATCAGTCGATAGAACACCATGTTCGTGCATCTAAAGAAGCTGACGATAAAAACAAATTCGAACGAATCTTAACGAACCGTGTGAATCATTTGAGCCAAAGCCTCCTGAGGACTTCTCTGAGCCATTGGTGTGTAGCAAAGACTGATCCATTCTCGTAAAATTCCTTCGACAACTTTCTGAGAAATCTCTCCGGCACCTTCCTCTCGGTTAGGTCCTAATAATTCAGCAGGAGCGGGTGAATCCATTCCTCCCGATGCTTCTCCTGGAGCCGGGATACGAGTTCCAGACTGTTGAAGCTGATGAACCTTGACTAACTGTTCGTACGTGAGTGGGAAAGCCTGGAATGCCTAATACCCTATATCAACATCATTTCATGATTGAAACTTACATCCTTCAATATCTGGCATTTGTTGAGATCTGTTCCACCATTACTTCCACTCAAAAGACGGAAGAGTCTTTGAGTGAAAAGAGTAGCTTTCAAATTCGAACCACCATTGATTTCAACAGCAAGATGTTGATCAAGTCCACCGGCTTGGATGAGATTATGCTTGAGCAAAACTTCAAAAGCTTCAACATTCCATTTGTATTCAACGTTTAAGTTGATTATGGTGTTGGTAATCCGTCTAGAGACTTCGGATATTGGTAGCCATCCTAGCAAAACTCTGGTGACACCAATGAACAAATCGCGTAAACGTCTAGGCCACTCGATATCCAATACATCTTAAATAACCCAAATTATACTGACAAATAAAAACTGATAATACTTTTGGTGGTAGGATCTACATGATAAGCATGCAGGAGATACTCAACACTCTTGGTTAGGCAATTAATCACAGCATTTGGATCTCGAGGAGTCACAGACAAATGAGACAATAAATCTTTCATTACTCCAACAGCCTGATAAGCCTGTAAGAAAGAAATGAATAGGTTCCTTCACGAACTAGACTTACCTTATTTTGCACATTTGGTTGAGCGTGCATTGTGGTATCAATTTCTTTCACGATGATATTCAACTGATGAACAAGAGTTTCGTATTGCTTGTCGGTTTCTGGCATAGCCAATGGTCTTGTTTCCGTTGGAACCACATCGTCGGAGATATTGGGCTTGAAGCCACAAATGCGACTAGAATTTTTAAAATTAAAAAATATCCAACAGTAATTATAAACCTGCTGAACTGTGTATAAATCTCCATGAGCTCTCTTCTGGTAGGTCCAAGCCTGACAGAGATGGCTGGTGGGAGGCTTGCTTGAATCTTCTCAACAGATTCATCTGTGAACAAAGTTCCATGCTGTTTGGCATGCATTCTTGGAACACATTCCTTAGGCTCCAACAACTTGGTCATATCGCTGCCAGCCTTCTCACAAGCTGTTTTAACAATGAAGTTTGTAGCAAGTTCAACGTTATCATGAGTCAATGTCTGTGAAGCTTCATCGATCATTTTAAGCTGAAATATCAAAAAGATGAAGAATACACCGATACTATTCTTACGAGTTCTACAGATCCTGGGTTGGCAGTTGACCTCAAAGCCGATTGGAAAGCGTTTTGCAGATAATTAGTCATCGTAGATGTCAGTGGATCACGACAAGTAATCATGGCCATACCAGCTGTCATTGCTCTCATCTATATTAACTTGGTTCAACGTAAAAAGATGTGCAAGATTACCATATGGAAAGATGCAAGCTTGATGTTCTTCTCATCGGGATCGAGTGCAAAATCCTTTCTAATAAGATTCTCAGTCACTGTAGTAGCAATCTTTTGAGCCCTTTCAGCTACAGGTCCTATTAACTCTTTGATGGCTTGAGTCAAAGCAGGTCTAACAACAGTTTTCAACTGAGGATGTAACTGAAAACAACAACTTGATAAATTCAACAGAATTAATAGTTACCTGGAAAAGAGGCAAAGATGCTTTGATTTGAATATGTGGGGCCAATCCTTCATATGATCCAACATTTATCTCGTGATAAGCATAGTTGCCCAATTGCGTTGGTTCCATTTGGTTAGACGATTCGGCATCTGGTGCTGGAGTTCCGGGCTGAAAACAATTTCGTCATGAACTTTTCCATGTTACCACAACTAACCTTGGTATCTGATGTTACAGGGGTTCCAGCATCAGGAGCGAGACGCATTTGACTTGGTACAGGAGAGCTTGTAGCGAGAGTATCTGGTCTAGCCAGAAGCTTGAGATCAGAAAGCTGTTGCTGTACTCTAATTAATCGGTCTGTATCCTTCAAGACTCCCTCTACTGGTAGCATATGAAGCTCAACATTAAGTTCTTTGCAAAGAACCTAAAAGAGCGACATAAATAACTTTCCTGAACTCTTATGGTTACCTCAATCTCAAACTTCAAGTTAATTTTCAAGTCCGGCTCGTTGTGTAACTCTGCCAGAATCTTTAGAACAGATCTTATCCAAGCACAAGACGCCCCGAATATCTAAGAAAACACAAAACTATTAAAAAAAAACACATCAATGACATTACCTCAGTTTTACTGCAAGAAAACAATATTTTCGCTATAAACGGTACAACGAAGAGAAGTTCTTGTTGTCCCTTATAATATGCCTCCATAAGCAAAGACTTCAAGTCCAATTCCTGCAACAAAAAAATAGCTTCAGAGGAGGGTTTAATGAGCTCACGTGTATAAGAATAGGTTTGCTTCGAGCAATTGTAATAGAGCCTAACCAAGATCCTAAATTTTTCAACAATTGACGATCACTGTAGTTAGAAGCAGCTTGTCTTTTGTCTGATCTCAACAAAATCTAAAAGAACATTTGCATGAATGATTTAACATAAGCATGTAATTACCCTGATGTTTCTGAATGTCTCTTTCTTGATGTGGTAGTCTAGCAGTGGATGATCAACTGTTTGAACGAAAGAATTGTACAAAGGTTGGAAGTTCTGCTCAACAGAAACTCTCTTCATTACAATGTATTGAGCGAGCCATTTGACAAACGGTTCGCCATGATCGTTTATGAGTCCAAGAACCTATGAGAATTGATAACTGCGATTTTTTTTTGGAATATATACCTCTTCTCTTTTGGCTTGAATGTTAGCATTCGACAAGTTATTGAAAAGGAATGACATCTTATCAACAACAAACTCAGGAGGCTGTGCTGCCTAATAAATAGAAGAATTATCAGGAGTGGGAAATTTCGAAATAGAACCTCTGCTCCTTCTTTCTCCGTTGCATTCACAAGTGTGTCTACATTGGTATACGACAAAACGTTGCCCTAAAAGATAACAACATTAAATAAGGAATAATAGTACGTACAGTTCGAGTTGCTACTCCAGATTTGTTGTCGTTACCAACCCTTTGTCCTGGTTGCCAGACAGGCGGTGTTGAACGTCCTTCGCTAACTGTAGGAGCCACAGAAGGATTTGGTGGGAAATCTCCATTCTTTCCAGCTAATACAAACTCTTGAAGAGCAGGTGGAAAACGATTGAAGTTTTCCAGCATTGAGATCATGGAACAAACCTATAAGGAAAGTATAGAAACTGGCTGATATTGAATTTTAGTACCCTAGGATAAGCTTTCAATTTCGTACGACAATGATCTAATGATACTATGCCGAAAGTCCAAAGTTTAGAGTTAGGATCAGCACTCAACGATTCGATAACTTTCCTAACGGCTGTGGCGAAATGTAAATTACTAAAAGAATGTTTGAACTTGATTGTAATTTTTTTTCTCGAACCTTATTATTCCTTCTCGAATAATACCGCCGTAAACTTCGGCCGTCGTCTTTAACTCGCGCTCAGGGTAGTCACCGAAAAATCGATACTCCTCAAACAAATTTTTGACAACGCAAGCCAAGACCTAGACATATAAGTGTGACAGGTGGTATAATGAATTCATAAAACCTTCTGATCTCTAGGATTGTTTGAGCTCTTAAACCTCTTCAATCGATCTATAAGCTCATGGACAGTCAAAACACCAGAGTTGTTGTATATTTGTTCGAAGTAGCTGTTCGCTTCTTCTTGAATATCTTCAGAAAACACAAGAGTTGTGAAATCATCCGATAACTGATTTGGATTTTGTCGAACCTTAAAAACCGGATAAGTTCACCAAGTAGGATCAAAAATACTTGGAAATCTGCACCAGTTGGTGGTAATTGTGCACGGAAATCCATTTGTTGCGATGGTGTTGGGGGACCAGCAGGCCTATGCCCTGTAGCTCCTGGCAGCGACCACGACGACGAAGATGAATTCTGTCGTTGTGGAGCTTGAGGACCTGGTACTCTTGATGACTGATTGGTAGGTGAATGAGTCCCATAACTGGTCGACCCAGGGAAGGTGTTGATGCTGATTGGTTGTGCACCAGATGATGGCTGAAAGATTTGTCACGTTTTTTTTTCAATCTTTGCTTTCAATGTATTTTTATTTGAAGATGCGTTGAGCAGGTATACAACAAACCTTAATTAATTCTTGACTTCCTCCTAGCGACTTGGCCCCAAACATATTACTCAAACCCATAGGATTACCAGCTGAATGGGCTTGACCAGGCTGAAAACCAATTATCCAATCAATACAAATATCAGACAGACCGGCATAAAACTTGGAAGAGAGTTAAATGATGCTGCGCTACTACCAAACATCATCGGCCTAGCAATTCGGGGATCCGAATGTGGAAAGCCGGATAATGACTCTTTGGGTAGGAAACCTAATCCAGGCTCCTTGTTTTGGGAAAAGTTTTGCAGGATAGGATCCTTATGCATGTTGAAGCCAGAAAGCTGATCAGAATGTTGTGGAAACCCAGGCATTGGGGCCCGTCCCGTAGAGGACACAGAAGAGCTACGACCACTCTCCTTCATGACCTGCAAAGTCTGTTTGAGAAAAGAAACTTCCGTGCCACATCACAAAACCTACCACAACGAAGCAAACTCAGGTAGTTAAATCACTAGGCGATAAATGCTAACATATGCACCAACATTTACTTAGATTTAAACAGAATTTTAAAGATAATTCGTGAATTTATCAATAATTGTATTCTCAAATCACGCGAATAACTCAACCGCTCGCAGCACGCGCCGCTAACTCAGTAAACGGAGTGCGATTCGTAAAAAGGGCGGAACGTAGGAAAGAAGTCTGCCCTAGTTACATAGGAGTTTGTCAGACAAACAATCTGCAACAAACAAACTCTTTCTCTCCTGTTTAACTGGGAATAAAAAAAACAAGAACTGGGCATATTGTTGAACTATTTTTTTCGAAATCTCTTTGCTTTTCGACATAACACTCAGCTCTTATACTCTCTCTTTCGATAAATTAAAAAGTTGTTGTGAAGCTCACCTCTGGTTGTTGTTCGAAAACGCGAATTCTATCTTTGTAAATGTTCCCTTTGGCTCCAAGAACGTCGATAGCTGTTTTACAAAATTGAAGAAGATAGACGAATAGATCGTCTGGCAAGGGGTTAGCTGATGGTGGGACAATACCATGTGACGCAGGTGCCCTCTTTTGAAGGATGGCTATTATGTCTTCTAACAGAGCCTCCTAAAAGAGAAGAATATTAATTGTTAATGAGTCAGCAGTATGACTTTATGAGTTTGATATTTGTCCAAGAGCCATTTATCCAACTTCAAATAATCTCTCTTCGATGCTAAACAAGCCAACTCGACTGAGAAGGCAAGTTCGTCCGAAGAAATGAGGGACGATAGACAACCCGGTTTCACCTCGTGGGAAAGCTGTAAAAAATGTTTTTTTCAAGAATGTTTCCAACATTTCAATTTACATCAAGTATTCTCGTTAATCGTCTCGCATCATCAATTTCTGCGGTATCTTTGTAGAAACCAATGAATATATTTGTAATTATTTGCCTAAATTCACTACAACAACGCCCCTGAAATCAAATATCTTGAACTGAGAACTGCATCTTCAGCATGTTTACTTCGATATTCCAGCCTTCATGGAGAATGGCAGCTGCGTTCGCATGAGATGGTATAATGACTTTGAGAATGATTGTAATAAGTGTTGACCTAAGAGAATAAGAATCCTATAAAATTGTTTGTAAGGTCAATTGAAGTCTGTAGAATAACCTGTTGATGAGGACGGAACGGTAATTGGGATTGAAAGAGACCTAACAAGATTATATCCGGAAATTGGGGAATTGCTGTCCAAAATACATTTTGCACCTCTTCTCGTAACTCGGGTGATTCTTCGGCAATTGTTAAAAGAATAGTATAGAGCTCAACGCACTTCCTAAAGAATCAGAACTGATATGTTCAAAGGTTTCTTGTTTACCAATTGGAAATGAAAATATTTTTGTCATCCGGGGGAGTTTTAAAGATTCCTATGGGAAGTGGAGTGTGGGGGGAAGAATGAAGCGAGAAAATATCGGGATTCTCCACAATATGTTTCAACCATTTCAACTGATTTCTTCTGAAAAAGAGACGACGCAAGAAGTGTTAGTGCGTGGAAGAGGACTCACACATTCTTCCATTTTTTGTACAAATGAAATACAGGGAAGGCAGTTTCGCTTGACGCTAATCCTGCCAATAGAACATCTGTGATAAACTTTAAATCTTCTCTAGAGGCTACTAGTAACATATCAGAATCTAGGCACTTCACGACATCTTCCCAATTTGCCTTTTCATTCTGAAAAGAAATCGAATGTACTTCTAAGAGTAAGGACATCAGTTGAACTTACAAATGTGTTGAAAACACTGACCAGAAGGTTTGGGTCGACATCAGTGACTACTTTATCTCTGAAAAGATGTTTGTTGAAGAGAAAGAGAATGAGTGTTTACCTAATTTTACAAACACAATGTAAGATAGTTTGAGCTATACTCTGTGGTGAGTAACATCGGTCTGAAAACGAACGTGGAAGAGATCAAAGGTTTCGTACTCACATTCTCCGCAGCCATTTTTTTTCAAGAAATTTATTACGGAGGCTTTCGATTGGATATAATCCCATCCACCTTTATTCATTAACACATGTAATAACATATTGTTTGCTCGATCGAACGCCATTTTCAAATCCTGAAACCAGGTGATCACTACAGATCCGTGATACCTAATCTTACCGCTGGGTCTTCAATTCCTTTCTTGATTATAGTCGTTACTTGCTGAGCAAGCTGGGAGGCCTGGATAATGTTTGGGACTTTTGAAAAACGAGCCAAAACAGAGAAAATGAGGGGTTTTAAAGGCTCTCTCTCGGCACCCGATCTATTAGGGTCTTCGATACACTGAAAAGAAAAAGAAGGAACCTTTCATCTTAAATGAATAAGATATACCCGATGAACGAATCTTGTAACCGATACAGGGCAAACTCCGGGAAATTCACCACCCAGGTAGAAATTGACTATTCGAACGATAAACTGAGAACGAAGAGGACAGTCATCAGCTGAGAAAATGAGAACAACTAGCACAACAGAAGATAGGAGAGAGTGAAGAACCTTGATATTCTACGAAAAATTGAGCGAATCTTTTGAGGGCTTCAGGATGTTCCTTGATAACTTCGTAAACCACTTCAGGTGCCAACGACGCGATAAAGCAAATGGCGTGGGCCACGTATGAAAAATCGGAGTTGCAAGTCTTAATTGGTACGATACATGAATTTGAAGAGGCTTGAACACATACTTTACCAAATAAGTGATCTATAAATTTATGAAGCGGCCGCCGCGGGCAGAGGGTGTTATTGTGGCTGAAGAAAAAACAAAAAACAGAAAAAAGTTTTGAAAAAAGTCAAAGAATAGTTACAAAGGAGAATACAGGAAAGAATAGTGAACTAACCTCTCGACTAACGCAGTGAAAAGAGCGTCTGCGCCTTGGATTTCTTGGATGCTACGACCTTTTTGCTCCTCTGTCGCAAACTTGAGGACCTAAATCGGATAACAGATTCAATAGCAGGAAGAGAGAACAGAAGAAATAGATAATCAATAAGCTCGCAGCATTACAACTGAGGTGCAGTTTGACCTACCAGTGTGATCAGACGTGCTGCGTGGTCTTCATTCAGATTAAATGAACTTGGAGGTACTCTTATATGAATCCCAACACATGTTAGAAGAATGTTAGCTGAATGCCAAGCAGAAATCTCCCATTCTCCTCCACAGGTTATCAACACACGCTTAAGTAACAAAACCGAGATAAGTTGTTTACATAAGAGGTCTTACTTGAAGAACATACTGTACTGACTTCTGAGGATGGACATGGAAGCTTTGAAATATTTCATCAATATACGATAAATGATATCGAACGGTGTTTTTCTCGTTAACTATACGCACTTTCCTTTTCATGGCAAGACCACTGTAAGACTAGAGTAGCTAATTTCGTTTCGAAGTAATAATACCAAGACTTTTTGAAAAGCCTTAAGAACACTTTGTTTTGACGATAGCTTATGTATGCTTTTGCCTATGCTTAGATATTTTAATGGGCATACATAAATGAGAAAGGAAAGGAACACGCAATGCTCTGCAACGTTTATTCAATGAGTAAAATGGTTGAAAGGTAACACAATTAGCACATTATGTATCCATCGTAAATCTCTACCCCTACGTTTTCAACACCAAGTTTTAAATACAGAAAAATACAAGTTGATCAAACGAATATTGAAAAAACTTCGAGAACGATAGATTAAGCGAGAAAAAACGCACAATCAGAGATTTGATTGACACAATAGTTTACAGGTATTCATACAAAATCACGATTTATATCCAGTTGAGAAGAAAAACTTCAGTTATTGAGGGAACAGCATCACAGTTTGGGGTTACATTAATTACCGTAATTTACAAGCTCTGTGATACAAGGCATCCACAACTTCACCCATAGCGTGAATTGTTTCCAAAGCAGTTTCGTAAGTTGGATCTGGAGGGGATACGTCATAAACAATAAGCATTCCATCTCCTTGGTGGAGAGAGCCGCTGAATTTACGATCCAAAATCATTTGAGCAAGCTTTTTCTCAACCTGGATAAAGATACACCTATAAACTTCAAACAAGATGAAGCTTACCTTAGCGCGGTCGATTCTGATTTCATTAGCGATATGATCAATTTGTACAAAAGAATATGGCTCAATCAAACGACACAAATCCTTTTCGAGCATAGTTTCAGACAAAGAGTTGAAATGCTTCTTTACAACAGCATCCATCTAATAGTTAAAAGTTAAAAAAAGTTAGAATACTATTAGCATACTTGTAATTCTTGACGGTAAGCTCCGAAAGTTTGGTTGAAATCAGCTAAGCTTCTCTTCTTAGAAGCTGTAGCAATAGCTCTCATAGCATCGAGATCAGTTCCACTGTATTTCAAAGCCAATTTTCCAGCCAAAAGAGTGGGAACCTCATCTGGGACATCGAGCATAACCTGAACATTACGAATCAGTAAGGAATCATCATTCAATACCAAACCTTGCACAAAAGCATGTACTTCAAAGAGAGAAGAGCCATGTTCTTGTCACAGGAATCATATCCCTCGAAAGCTTCATAGAAATATGAGAACGCTGTTTTGAAGTCTTTCTCGTCGGCAGCATGGAGAATTCCAGACTGCAGGTCGAGGGAAGCCTACAAACATAAACAAATAGAAAAGTAACAATATAAAGCACATACCTGCATCTTTGGGTGAACATAGATGGCATTGGCAGTAGTTCTAGCTCCTGTTAAGGAAGCACGAGCTTTTCCAATGTTTCCGAGATGATAGTAGGCTTTGGATTCTTCCAGTTCAACTTCGACAAGAACGTCTTTGTCATCCAATTTTTTCAACTCTCTGATTAATTCAGCGGCTGGAATTCAAACATGATAAGACGAGATAAGAAGGTTCATACCAGTGGGAAGAGATTGGTTATATCTTCCAAGATCGTTGAACAAACGAATAAGGCGAGCTTCCAATGTTTGGCGCAAGAACGTTCTGTTTTGCTCAGTTGCCCATTGTATACATTCACGGACGAGCTCAACCTTGAAAGATAGTTTTTGTTGATAATTAAAAAAAAATGTTACAACTAACCTTAATGTCTCCATCTTGTCCATCAATCATCAAACATAAATCAACAAGATTTCTCACAAGCTTGGCAGCTTTTGCTTTTCCCAAAGATACGAGGAAAGGACGAGTCTGCTCGATCATCTACGATAAGAGCAACATATTTTGGTATGAAGTCAACAAGTCAACACTAACCTTACGAAGTTCCTCTGTTTGTTTGCTTTGAGCAAGAATATTTCCAAGCTCCATAATGGAATCTTCCTTTTTCTTAATATCAGCATCACCGCTCGCTGGAGATTTAACTAAAACAGAAACGATGGAAGAACAGAATAGTTAAAAACACGAGCTCACCCAAGTTGGTTAAATGGCGGATAACATTTTGGTCATTTTGGTGAGGTAAAGAAGGCATATGATCCATGACTGTACCACCGGACATATTAGGTAACACCTTAACAATCCGATCATTATCAAAAATAGTAAAACAAGAATCGTAAAGTAGTAAAGTAACGAAAAGAAACGAATGAAGCTTTGATTATTTTGCTACGAAAGAATTTAATGTCATCATGAGACAAGAAACCTCTGTCATGACTTAAAGTTCAAAATAAGTAATGAAAATCAATAAAACATTTGTTACCACACGAAAACAAGCTTGGAAACTTAAAAAAAAGAATTTTTTGAACCATCACTTGCTCAAGTATAAATAGCAGATGATTCGAGGACAAGAATTGCTTTCCAAGATGCGCAGGCTAACGATTACGGTAGTTTCTGGCAAGGAGCCAACTCACCAGAATAAATTTCAATAAATATTTTTCTGTTTGCTAAAAGTAGTATTCAATGCTTATTTGTGAATATAATAGAACTGAAGATTGATTTGAATGTTCAGGTGATTGAGTGCCTATTCTCGGGAGGAATATGTCGTTCACACAATCTCCGAACGTGTGGGGTAAGACTTCCACGCAGGAGGTATGATATTGCTGATACATCCTCATAGAATCCTTAAATTCAGCCAGTGGAACCAATTGTTTCTCTTGTTGATATTATGAGTGAAGAATTAGCTCATACACTCGTCGAAGATGATGTTCGTAGAGATGGTGAAATGGCCGAAAGATTGAACGCAGAAGCAAACCAAGTGCGCACACACCACCCTTATGTAGTTCTATAAATCATTTAGTCGTTCACTTCCGATGAGGAGTTTGCTAGAGCTCTTCAACGTGATTACGATCGTGAGTATGATCTGTCGGTACGTATGGAGCAGCATAAGATGTTGGGTATCAAAAAAGGTATTTCATGTGAGATTTGATTGCTTCATCTGTTTCCACAGTTTCTGTTACTCCCGATCGTTATAAGCCTAGAACGCAACAAGAATCTGAAGACGAAGAGTCTGATGATGATGATGCTACACGAGAAGCGGCAACAGCTTTGTTGTACGCCAAAGTAACTTGTTTTTCTTGAAAAAAAACCGTTTATAATTCATCTTAGTTGGATTCTGAGCACTTGCCATCCACAACTGTAAGGAACGAAGATGGAACATGGAGAACTAAACACGATCCAGGAATATCCGGAAGACGTAACGCTGATAAAGCCTTGAATGTATTATTTCTTTCTCTTGCGAAAAACAGTTTCTCACTCAGGATACTGTGAACATCTCGTTTGGTGATACTGTTTCACAACAAATCAGTAATCGTGTTTTCAACGACTTGCGAAGTTTTGCAAAAACTGACACGAAAAGACAGCATAAGTTGAAAGATAAGGTACGGATCAACCATCTAATCTCTTCAAAAGCGTCTGATTAGGAAGAAATGGCGACAATGGAAACATCTGTTGATGGTGCTACGAGATTGACTTTGTACAAATGGATTAATCAAGGAATTTTCGATCGAGTCGAAGGTATTATTGCTACAGGAAAAGTGAGTCTTGAACATGTTCGTACAAACGTTCACTTCTATAGGAATCTGCTGTTATTCACGCTGTATTAAGTGAAAAACAACACTATGCCATTAAAGTTTATAAAACAAGTTTAACCGAGTTCAAGAACAGGTGCAGTTTGAGTCAGTTTTTTTGTTGTTGTGATCATCACTGTGTAGAGGGGAGTATGTCAAGGATGATTTCCGTTTCAAAAACCCCCGTAGTGTCCTGAAGATTTGGGCAGAAAAAGAGTATATGAATCTGAAAAGGTAAACACATAAAGGATTATGACGTCCTTATTTATTTGCTTTAGAATGAATAATCACAGTTTACCATGCCCGGAGCCTTTGAAACTAAAAAAACATCTTTTGGTTATGTCGTTGATAGGAACAGACGTAATACTTACTATTTTTCTGTTCTGAGTTAGCACTTGACAGGGTAAAGCTGCTCCACGATTGAGAAATGTTGAATGGGAGTTCACAACAGAGGAAGAAAGATATGATCTATATCTACAAGTCCAAGATGTAAGAAGTTCAATATTCGGGTATACCACAAATCGCTTTTTTCAGATTATGTGTAAAATGTATAAAGAATGTCGCTTAGTACATGCAGACTTGAGCGAGTTTAATTTGCTATTATCTGAAGGAAAGGTACAATCATGACAAAGTTTCAATCAATACACACAATAATCTAAAAACGAATGCAACAGTTTTGGGTAATTTCAATCTTCGAAATAATCAAGAAACCGCAAATACACGTGATTCACGTATTTCCGTCAACGAACTTTATGCTAATGAGGGATTTTGAAAAGAAATGCTTCCTAATTCATCAAACATTTGACGGAACAAACAATTTTTTTCCAGGTGTTTGTGATTGATGTATCACAGGCCATGGATATATCGCATCCCCGCAATTTACATTATTTAACCAGGTTCTTCTGTTCAAACAGTTCCAAAAACGGTTTTTTTTCAGAGACATTGAGAATGTTTTGTTGTTTTTCACGAAACTGGGAGTTCCCAACTTACCTACTGATGCAGCTCTCTTCAATTTGATAACTGATATGAGTATGAAAGATGATGACAGTTTACTGGTTCAAGTATGAGAGAACTGTTTAGAACGAATTCACTCTTTTTGTTTCAGGTTGAACAGTTCTCCAGAGAGAATCGTTGTGTAACTAGACGGATTGACAAAGCTAAACCTGGGGACAGAGAACTACGGTTGTATGATGCTGAAGCAAAAGAAGAAGGCCATGATCCAGCCCGAGAATATAATTAATTATTTCCAACTTCTAACTTTGTAATTTATACTAAATAAGTTGATCACCTTGTTCATAGTGGTTTTTAATATAAATGTTTAACAGTTGTTTTAAGTTTCATTTTTAATCTTTGTAATTATGAATACGGACGGTTGCTACGTTTGAATGCCAGTCGTGGAGAGAGAGAGAACATTATGATTATCCGGCAGCAGCTAACTACACAATCTGAAATCTCTGATATACGTTTCCATGGTAACGCTTGCTGCTTCGAATTCAATTCACGTATCGCATTACGAAGTGTTCGCCAGAGGCCCTAACCATAATATGGAAGCCGATGTTGAAGTCAACGAGGTGAGCATGTTTCGAACTGTATTTTTTTTCAAATTTCTATTATGTCTCCAGCCTTCTGTTCAATTGCCACCGATTGAAAAACCGTCTAGACCTAAATCAACTGATTCAGCCATTTTTCGTAGTTCATATGATTATACAACACAGAACAGGTATCTAGAACATCTTTTTCTTTCTTGTTATTTTCTCCCTCAGACAATATTTCAATGAGCGGCAACAATTGATACGTCCACGTGATCAAATACCGATATCGACTGACAATCTCACATTCGAAACAGAAAACAGATCGCGCTTCCGTGGTGGGAGCGGTCAAAGGTATGAGTTAACTCGACCACCAGATCAATTTAAATTTGACATGGGGAATAATATGAACTATGTATCTGTCAGTCATTCAGCATACGTTCCTTATAAAACAGAAAGACAAAAAGTTCATACTAGTAATGATCAGATACAGCAAGAAAAAACTCCTTTTGACTCAACAACTGTCAATCGATCTGTATATCAGGGAGGCTTAGGAGAACGATATGAAACAAATAGACCCACCGACCAGATTGAGAAACCAACAGGGTCATTCGAAACCACATCCATGAATCGTTCCACTTATCAGGGTGGAGTTGGAGAACGGTATGAGATTAACCGACCCAAAGATCAGATTGAGAAACCATCCGGAACATTTGAGTCGACTTCTATGAATCGAGCAACATATCGAGGAGGAATCGGAGAACGATATGATGTTAGTCGACCCAGTGATCAGATCGAGAAACTGGCAGGAGCGTTTGAGACCACTTCGATGAATCGAGCTACTTATCAAGGTGGAGCAGGAGATCGATACGAGACGAACAGACCCAAAGATCAGATTGAAAAAGCAACAGGAGCACTGGAGTCGACATCGATCAATCGGGCGACATACCAAGGAGGAATCGGAGAACGCTATGATATTCATAAACCAAAAAATCAAATCGACAGACCCACAGATTCTCTACAAACAACCACTGCGAACAGAGAGGATTTTCGTGGAGGGATAGGTGAACAATTTCCGATGAATCGCCCCAAGGACCAAATTGAGAAACCGGTAGGGTCTTTTGAAACAACATCCATGAACCGTGCTTCCTTTCGAGGTGGAGTTGGAGAGCGATATGAAACTAACAGACCCAAGGACCAGATTGAGAAAGCAACAGGAGCATTAGAGTCGACATCGATGAATCGAGCAACCTATCAAGGTGGAGCTGGTGAACGATATGAGGTCAATAGACCTAAGGATCAGATCGAAAAGCTGACAGGAGCGTTCGAAAATACTTCCATGAATCGAGCGACATACCAAGGAGGAGCTGGTGAACGATATGAGGTCAACCGACCCAAAGACCAGATTGAGAAAGCAACAGGAGCATTAGAGTCGACATCTATGAATCGAGCAACATACCAAGGTGGAGCTGGTGAACGATATGAGGTCAAAAGACCTAAAGATCAGATAGAGAAAGCAACAGGAGCATTGGAGTCGACATCGATGAATCGAGCGACATACCAAGGAGGAGCTGGTGAACGATATGAGGTCAATAGACCTAAAGACCAGATTGAAATGCCCACTGGAGCTTCAGAGTCGACGTCCATGAATCGAGCAACCTATCAAGGTGGAGCCGGAGAACGATATGAAATCAACCGACCCAAAGACCAGATTGAGAAAGCAACTGGTGCAATAGAGTCGACATCTATGAATCGAGCAGCCTATCAAGGTGGAGCTGGAGAACGATATGAGGTCCATAGACCAAAAGACCAGATTGAAAAGTTAACAGGAGCGTTCGAAAATACTTCCATGAATCGAGCAACATACCAAGGTAGAGACGGAGAACGATATGAAATCAACCGACCCAAAGACCAGATTGAGAAAGCAACAGGAGCATTAGAGTCGACATCTATGAATCGAGCAACCTACCAAGGTGGAGTTGGAGAACGATATGAGGTCAATAGGCCGAGAGATCAAATTGAAAAACCAACAGGGTCTTTCGAAACAACCTCTATGAACCGTGCTTCCTTTCGAGGTGGAGTTGGAGAACGATATGAGGTCAATAGACCTAAAGACCAGATTGAGAAAGCAATAGGAGCATTAGAGTCGACATCTATGAATCGAGCAACCTACCAAGGTGGAGCAGGAGAACGATATGAGGTCAATAGACCTAAAGACCAGATTGAGAAAGCAATAGGAGCATTAGAGTCGACATCTATGAATCGAGCAACCTACCAAGGTGGAGCAGGAGAACGATATGAGGTCAATAGACCTAAAGACCAGATTGAGAAAGCAATAGGAGCATTAGAGTCGACATCTATGAATCGAGCAACCTACCAAGGTGGAGCAGGAGAACGATATGAGGTCAATAGACCTAAAGACCAGATTGAGAAAGCAATAGGAGCATTAGAGTCGACATCTATGAATCGAGCAACCTACCAAGGTGGAGCAGGAGAACGATATGAGGTCAATAGACCTAAAGACCAGATTGAGAAAGCAATAGGAGCATTAGAGTCGACATCTATGAATCGAGCAACCTACCAAGGTGGAGCAGGAGAACGATATGAGGTCAATAGACCTAAAGACCAGATTGAGAAAGCAATAGGAGCATTAGAGTCGACATCTATGAATCGAGCAACCTACCAAGGTGGAGCAGGAGAACGATATGAGGTCAATAGACCTAAAGACCAGATTGAGAAAGCAATAGGAGCATTAGAGTCGACATCTATGAATCGAGCAACCTACCAAGGTGGAGCAGGAGAACGATATGAGGTCAATAGACCTAAAGACCAGATTGAGAAAGCAATAGGAGCATTAGAGTCGACATCTATGAATCGAGCAACCTACCAAGGTGGAGCAGGAGAACGATATGAGGTCAATAGACCTAAAGACCAGATTGAGAAAGCAATAGGAGCATTAGAGTCGACATCTATGAATCGAGCAACCTACCAAGGTGGAGCAGGAGAACGATATGAGGTCAATAGACCTAAAGACCAGATTGAGAAAGCAATAGGAGCATTAGAGTCGACATCTATGAATCGAGCAACCTACCAAGGTGGAGCAGGAGAACGATATGAGGTCAATAGACCTAAAGACCAGATTGAGAAAGCAATAGGAGCATTAGAGTCGACATCTATGAATCGAGCAACCTACCAAGGTGGAGCAGGAGAACGATATGAGGTCAATAGACCTAAAGACCAGATTGAGAAAGCAATAGGAGCATTAGAGTCGACATCTATGAATCGAGCAACCTACCAAGGTGGAGCAGGAGAACGATATGAGGTCAATAGACCTAAAGACCAGATTGAGAAAGCAATAGGAGCATTAGAGTCGACATCTATGAATCGAGCAACCTACCAAGGTGGAGCAGGAGAACGATATGAGGTCAATAGACCTAAAGACCAGATTGAGAAAGCAATAGGAGCATTAGAGTCGACATCTATGAATCGAGCAACCTACCAAGGTGGAGCAGGAGAACGATATGAGGTCAATAGACCTAAAGACCAGATTGAGAAAGCAATAGGAGCATTAGAGTCGACATCTATGAATCGAGCAACCTACCAAGGTGGAGCAGGAGAACGATATGAGGTCAATAGACCTAAAGACCAGATTGAGAAAGCAATAGGAGCATTAGAGTCGACATCTATGAATCGAGCAACCTACCAAGGTGGAGCAGGAGAACGATATGAGGTCAATAGACCTAAAGACCAGATTGAGAAAGCAATAGGAGCATTAGAGTCGACATCTATGAATCGAGCAACCTACCAAGGTGGAGCAGGAGAACGATATGAGGTCAATAGACCTAAAGACCAGATTGAGAAAGCAATAGGAGCATTAGAGTCGACATCTATGAATCGAGCAACCTACCAAGGTGGAGCAGGAGAACGATATGAGGTCAATAGACCTAAAGACCAGATTGAGAAAGCAATAGGAGCATTAGAGTCGACATCTATGAATCGAGCAACCTACCAAGGTGGAGCAGGAGAACGATATGAGGTCAATAGACCTAAAGACCAGATTGAGAAAGCAATAGGAGCATTAGAGTCGACATCTATGAATCGAGCAACCTACCAAGGTGGAGCAGGAGAACGATATGAGGTCAATAGACCTAAAGACCAGATTGAGAAAGCAATAGGAGCATTAGAGTCGACATCTATGAATCGAGCAACCTACCAAGGTGGAGCAGGAGAACGATATGAGGTCAATAGACCTAAAGACCAGATTGAGAAAGCAATAGGAGCATTAGAGTCGACATCTATGAATCGAGCAACCTACCAAGGTGGAGCAGGAGAACGATATGAGGTCAATAGACCTAAAGACCAGATTGAGAAAGCAATAGGAGCATTAGAGTCGACATCTATGAATCGAGCAACCTACCAAGGTGGAGCAGGAGAACGATATGAGGTCAATAGACCTAAAGACCAGATTGAGAAAGCAATAGGAGCATTAGAGTCGACATCTATGAATCGAGCAACCTACCAAGGTGGAGCAGGAGAACGATATGAGGTCAATAGACCTAAAGACCAGATTGAGAAAGCAATAGGAGCATTAGAGTCGACATCTATGAATCGAGCAACCTACCAAGGTGGAGCAGGAGAACGATATGAGGTCAATAGACCTAAAGACCAGATTGAGAAAGCAATAGGAGCATTAGAGTCGACATCTATGAAT